GATCAGTTGCAGGACATGAAAAAAGACAAAAAGGAAAAAAAAAAAAAAAAAAGAAGGGTCACTTTTCAGCCACTGTTTCACGTCACATAAGGAGAAAAAATTGCAAAATGACTTCCATAGGAATGAAAAAAATGATCACAATCCCTGTAGTCCAATGGAATAATCCATTTATGCAAGGATTGCCCACATTTAATTAAAGCACAGAAAAGCCACAACATTTCTTCTCATCACAGTTCTGGTTCTTCTACTGGCTCAGGTTTGACTCCAATGAAAACTATCAACTAGCTCTTTCCATAGAGGTTTTAGACACACACACACGCGTGTCCTTGAGTGTGATGACCAGGAGTATTGTCCCTTATTCTAGTTTTATTCTCTCTCCATTTAGTATGGCAAGAAGAAAATCAAATACATCGATTATGAAAAGCAGCACCTGTACTTCTACATGGGTGAGTCTCTTAGAGCCACATTCCATGTCATCACATTCCCTTGAAGTGAGCTAGTGCTCAAGCTAGAAGGAACAATTGCAATCCTCTCACAGAGACCAGCCCATGTCTCATTGTTATGGAGAAATGTAGTATGTCTTGTTTCCCATGTCATCACATTCCCTTGAAGTGAGCTAGTGCTCAAGCTAGAAGGAACAATTGGAATCCTCTCACAGAGACCAGCCCATGTCTCATTGTTATGGAGAAATGTAGTATGTCTTGTTTCAGATTCACTGGGGCAAAAATCTGAAAAGGAAAAGGGAAAAACAAATACACATTTTTAAGAAGCACCTCATCACGCTGGGTGTGGGGCAGGGAAGGAAGAAGATGCTCCAAGGGGTCCTGCATCTGGGATTCTCATCTTGAAAAAGATGAAACACCAGTCAAGAGAAAATAATAGTGGTATTTAAGGAGGGAGGAAAGAAAGATGGGAAAATAATGCTGAAGGATTTACAGTGTGATTCCAAAAAACGGTGGAGGCCCAGGAATAAAAGGCACTTATAGAGCTTCTGTGTGGAAGAAACCTGGCTGTTCCCATGGCCTACATGCAGCTGTGGAAACTGTGCCAGATTGAAAGGAAATAGGGGTAGCCGAGTAATTCTGATACCAAGAAAAAAAAAGGCATCATAAGTGAAAGTGTTTGCTCTCTTGAGAGAGTTTCAAAAAACTCTGTTTCTTGAAAACAAAGAAAATTGTCAAGGAACCTCCAAATCTGCTCATGTAAAACATACTTACACATTTGAGAAATAAACCAAAATCAGGGATGGAACCAAACATTTCCCATAGACCAGTGCTTCTCAACCAGGGACAAGTTTGATCCCCAGAGGACATTTGATAATATCTAGAGACATTTTTTAGTTGTCACAATGGAGGGGAAGGGATGATACTGACATCCCATAGGTAGAAGCCAGGGATGCTGCTGAACATTCTACAATGCACAGGACAGCCCCTTATAACAAATAATTATCTGGACCAAAATGCCAACAGTGCTGAGGCTGAGAAACACTGTTTCAGACGATCTGATTTGTCCAAGTGTAGGCCACTAGAGGTCACCTGTAACATGCCTGAGGAGGATGGCCAGTGGGTACATTTTTTGAAATGTGCGGTCAGCCATCACTGCTGCCTCCTCTACAGCTGGAATTCAGCCTCTCCCATCCCCAAAACTGTTCGACACCCACCTTCTTTCTTGCATGACCAAAAAGAGGAATGAGGACCTTAGTGCCCCAATTTGAAAGGTAGCTGATCCTCCACCTAATTCAGTTTGTGCTTGCACAAGAAAAAGCTGTTGGAGTTTCTTTTCTGAACTTCCCTGAGAACTGTGCCTTCACCTCCCCTGTGTGCAGTGGTGCAATATGCCCTTAGCTTATGAGGAATGAGTGTATGGTGTGTATGCGCTGCAGAATGCCCACCTCACAAATAACACTGCCCCCCAAGAGCTGTTTCATTGTGTCCTTTCCCTTCCAATGCCAGCTCAACATTTCAGGTACAAATGAGTCATACTCAAACTGTTACAGAGAAACACAGCTGGACGTTTGTCAAAGGCAGCAAGACAGATTTTATTCAGGCTACTGCAGTAAGGGTGAGAGACTTCAATATGAACTGAGATTAGTTCTACTGAAATGAAAAGTGGGAGAGAGGCTTTTAAAATGCTGGGGCATGCTGAAGGAAAAGTTCTAAAAGATGTCAGGGGATGGGATAGAGATGGGGGAGTTGGTCAATGTCAATAGGTCAGACCATCTGTGTCTGCTAACTTGCAGTTTTCTGGCAAAGTTAGGCTCCTACACTCCCACAGAGACTGGGAGTAAGGGGCCTTATCCTTCTTGATGATTACATTTCAAAGGGATGGCTCCCCAGGTCCTTAAGAATAGCATTTCTGGTTGTGGAAGATACGTGTCAAAGGAAGAAAGAAAGGACTTGCAATTGTAAGGTTTTTTATTGTAAATGCTCTAAGAAAAGGGATATCAGTTGACTATAGTCAGGTTTTGACTGGAATAAAGTATTAATTCTTTTGGCAGCATTGAGCTTTTTCAGCAGAAACTTTAACAGGGCTAGGATCATCCCAGAGATATGTCCTCAAGCTATGAGAAACTGTGCTAGTGTTTGTTTGAGGCTAAGTATAGGGGCAAATAAGATTATTGTGCTGAGAGTTTGAAGTCTTCATAGGCTAACGTTGAGGCCTAGTTGAGAAGATGGCTCAGGGGACCCTGACTAAAATTTGGTCAAGGAGAAAGTCTTTGTCATAAGCTAAAGGGTCTCCATAACTCCTTTGTGCTCTAGGAAGCCTCAATGGTGCTGGGGGGAAAGCAGGTAAATAGCTCTCTGACGAGGAAAGGCGTATACCTTCTTTATTTCTGCCACCCCAACATATTGTGACAGGACCCAATCCCAAGGATGTTGGGAAACTGAAGGACTTGAATGACCTTGAAAAAACTTGAAAGCTCTGAGAAGAAGCTCTTCAAAGACGGCTCTGTCAAAAATGACATATATCTTCAAACCTCCCCTAGACCCTTTGACGGAAATTGAACCTATTTCCTCGTTCAGCCTTTCAGACTTGGAAAGTCCAATGGAGTCCAGGAGGTAGTTATGGATCTCCATCTTGCATCCCTTCTCAGAGCCAACATTCCGGAAGTGGCATGTTAAGGAGGTAGACTCCCACTGACTTGCACTGGGCTCACGTTCTGCTCATTTATTCACCATCTTTGTTTATTCTCTTTCAGTTGGGCTGCCCCTCCTCATGCCTGTATATTTTAACCTGCAATCCATGCAAGTGATGTACCTTCGAAGGTATTGGGGGGTGAGTAACTTGGCTCATATTCTGAAACTAGAACAGCTAGGAGAGGGGAAATGAAAATGCTCGATCCCCTCCAGACATAGCTTCCTTGAGAACAGGGCATAAGATTTAGCTGGTAAAGGAAGGGAACCCTGCCCAATGAAGAGAAAATGAAATTATGTGCAGGGCATCTAACCTTCAAGTGCTTTTCTCTGCAGGACATTGCCTGGGTCAGCAGCTTTTACATCCGATATTTTATCACATTTGGCCCTTTCTATGGAATCTTTGGAACTGTGCTGCTCATATATTTGGTCAAGTAAGAATATTTTCTTGTTCCCAAAACCCAGATGGACCTCTTGCCTTCCTTATCAGAGCTATTTGAGAAGAGCAGAGGAATATAGCACCATGCCCCATTCCCTGGAACTGAGGTGTTTTCAAGAAAATGTAAAAATAATAAATAATAATAATAACAACAACAACAATAATAATAATAATTGAAATAGTTGAAATCTCCTTGAAGAAGAATTTGCCTTATCTCCATTTTTTCCTCAACTTGCTTGATTCCAAATTGAAGCATTTCAGCTGATCCCCAAGTCCTTTAAAACTGTAATCTAGTTGGACATGATAACCCCTGCCAAAGATAATGACAGGACAGGAATTTTTTTAAGTTATTTTATGACTAGAGTTCTTCCCAAAACCAAAGTGACTTCAGACTATCATTTTTACTCATATAGCTCTCTTCAACTTTCCAATTTATTCCTCCCTCATTCTGTTGCATTATTATCCCAAATCCTAAATAATCATAAGAATAATAATAACTACTATGCATCAGATACTTTGTTAAAGGCTTTACATGCTTTATCTTATTTGGCGTAATCCTCACACAACCCTGCAGTATAGATAGAATCATCTTCATTTTTCTGCTAAGGGAACTGAAGTTCAAAGAGATTAAGTCACTTGCCCAAGGCCATAGAGCAAGTAAGAGCAGAGGCCAGTGTCAAAACAGAACTTGAACCCAGCTCCACCTAATGACAAAGCCCAGGCTGTCAATCACATTGCACATACCCATAAGTTCCCCTGGTATTTTTGATCCTTGCACATAGCTACAGAAAACTTTAGAGTCACTGCTCTGATACATTTGGCAACAGGACAGGTCATGTGGCTGAATATCTAGTGTGTCATCTCTAGATATAAAGGGCTTTCAAAGAAGAAAATCGCCACCATTTTATTGGAACCTGAGTCCCTTTCATTTTCTCCAGTGTTCAGCCAGCTTTGCCAGGAATTACGCAAGCCCAGTGATTGCTACAGAAACACTCCAAAGAGTCATTACTTCCTCCTTTTATTTCCCTGAAAGGTTTCTTGAAAGTCCCTGGATTGCATATGTTACCCAGATGAGCCACATACCAATGAAAATGAGCACAGAGGAGAACCGGGACTGGCTCAGCACTCAGGTAGTGATGGAGTTCCTGAGAGAGAATCTTTCAAACCGTACTGATTTAGAATCTGGTCACCCCAAATGATAACATCTCACCCTTATAGAATATTTGCCACGGGCCAGGCATTGTCAAGTGCTTTGCATGTATTTACATGTGGTAGACGCTATGATTATTCTCCCTTTACAGATAATTAAATTGAGGCAGGAAGAAATTGAATAACTTATTTATATAACTTTTATTGGAAAATAGGCATGCTTATATTATTTATGACCACTCTTTTGCTACAACAGCAGATTTAAGTAGTTGTGAAAGAATTAAAATGTTTACTGTCTGGCACTTTGGAGAAAAGGTTTGCACAGACTACCCCTGCCTCCTAGGCCAAAGTTACTTCCACCTGCTGTGCTGTGATTGACAGGAAAGTCCGTCATTTTCCTGCTCCCTTCGCCAAACTCAGTAGACTCTCCACAAGGCATAGAGGAGTGGTTCTCAAACTTTTTGATCACAGAACCACTTATTTTTTGATCTTTTAGTTTTCATTTATTATTTACTTAATCACTAGTTAGGTTGAATACTTTTCATATATTTATTGGCTCTTTGTATTTCTTTCTCTGTTAATTGCTTGCCCATGCTCTTCGTCCATTGTTCTATCTAAGTATCCATACTTTTCTTATTGAATTTCAATAGCTCTTTATTTACTAGGGATAATAATACATTGTCTATAATATGCACCATAAATACTTTCCCAGTTGGTTCTTTGCCCTGTAATTTTATTATGGAAGGGATTTATTAATATTTCACTTTGTCTTGCATGTAATATCCCTGAAAATATCTATTATAGTGAGCCAGCTACTGTTCTTTTTCCACTCATCTTACCATGTGATGATCCTGGCATGAAGTTATATTAAGAAATTTAGTTAACTTAAGATATTACCATATCATGTATATAGCTGGTATATGAAGTTAGCAAGACCTCTTCACTAGCCTGGAAGATTCTTGGTCCTTCAAATGCCTTCCATCTCACTTAACAATGACTACAAGCAACAGACCACTCTTAAAAGTTATTGAGAACCTCAAGAAGCTTTTGTTTATGTGAAATATATCCTTTAATATTTATTGTATTTAAAATTGAAACTGAGAAGTTTTAAAATATTTATTAATTAATTTTAAAATAACAAGCATAAAACCAATATATGTTGACATCAGAGTCATGATGGCATCCCACATTTAGTAGCCTCTGGAAAATTCCACTGAGAGAATGAGAATGAAAAAGGCAAATAATGTCTTGAAAGTATTATAAAAATAATTTTGACCTTGCAGATCCCATTACAGTGTTGTGAGGAACCTCAAGATTCTCTGAACTATACTTTGAGTAACATAGAACAGCCACAAATGTAACATTTAAAATGGCAACAACCCCAGTTAGAATTAAACCTTTTTTTAAGGTTTAGGCATTGAATTAAATAATATTTATATGAGTTCTTAATCTTGGCAGTCTGGAAAAGCCTATGAACTCTTTCTCAGGATAATGTTTTTGTTTTTTTTTTTTTTTTTCAGGATAATGTTTTTTAAATGCATAAGATAAAATGTGTAAGATTGCAAAGGAAACTACTTTGTTTTTTTTATTATTTTGTTTTTTTTAAATGTATTATGATATTTATTAGTATTATTTTTTTATATTTTACTTCTCAAAATACATTGTAGTTGATTTTCATGCCCCTTCACCCTTTCCTCTCCACCCTCTCTCCCTCCCCCGCACTGTACCTGTTCATTTGACTTAAATAGTTCAAGGAATTTTTGTGGTTATTCTGTCTTCTCCCCTCCCCCCATTAGTTTGTGTGTTTATTTATTTATTTATTTATTTTTAGCTCCCACAAATAAGTGAGAACATGTGATATTTCTCTTTCTTGCCTGACTTGCTTCACGTAATATAATTTTCTCTAAGTCCATCCATGTTGATGCAAATGGTAGTATTTTGTTCTTTTTTATAGCAGAGTAGTATTCCATTGTGTAGATATACCACATTTTCCATATCCACTCATCTGATGAGCCCTAGGCTCAGGACCTCAGAGTGGGAAATATAAATCAGAATTCTCTATATACTTCTAATTTCTATTACCATCAATGGTAAGGGAAGGAGGAAAGAAAGGAAGGAGGTATAACAATTTTGAGTAAATGGAGCAGAATCATGGAAAAGTACTAGTGACTCAGTTTCTAGAAACCTGCAGGCTTACGAATTGGTGACTGTTTTCTGTACATTTGGTTTGTTGGTGGCACACAAGAAAAATCACACTATTTGGATAATCAAGTTGTGTTGAACTTAATTATAATTTAATTCAAATATTTATCTCTTTAGAACCAAAGCTACAAAATAATCAATAATGAAATCCAGTTCCTGATGCAATTTCCAAATGGTATCTGGCAATACTTTAGCAATGGATCAGTTAGATGGACATACAGTAACAAAAAAGAAAAGATAAGACTTGGAGAGTCCATCTATCCAGCATACTCAGGGGAAGACTTTCCACACCTTCTTTAAGACTTATCTGAGATACTCACAGACAGAAAGAGATCTTATTCCTGTTCATGGGATTTTCTCATACTTTTTTTTTTCATGGTAGTCCTTAAAAACTTCAGCAAAATAAGAAAGAATCATTACTTATATTTTATCAAAGAGGAAGTTAAAACCCAGGAAGGTCACCTGGCTGATTAGTGGAAAGCCTGGGAGAAGATCCCATATCTCCTCACTTGTTATTCTTATCCTAGGTTTTTTCCCCATGTACATTGACTAGAATTTATTGAGTAGTCATCTATCCATGAGACAGGAGTTGGATGGATAGAGAGGAGAGAGAGAGACAGAGACAGAGGTGGGGTGAAATGACAGACAACCCATACCTTCATCTGACCTTGCCAAAAATAAACATACTTGATGGAACTATTATTTATTTTGTTAGCATCTCCCAAACATTTGCCACCCACATGACTCACAGAGGTGATAAGAGATAAGGTAAGACTGTTTTGACAACATTTTTTTAACTTCCCAGAAGTATTATGCAAGGTCAAGTTTGAGTCTGAATTGCTGATATAATTTTATTTGGTGATAGAAGAAAGAAAATTCCTTTGGGTTTCTCTTTAGGTCTAAGTTTTGTATCTCCCGTCTGCTTCCCTAGTCTATTCCCCACAATGCCGCGCCATAATTATCACAAGGTGGCACCTCTGGTGAGGTCACTGTGCACCAAGCACGGATTGCAGTATGTGAATAAGCCCATGTTGAAGGCGTTTGGAGATATCGTCAGGTAATAACACTATTTCTCTCAGCTCACAGCTCTCATTTCCTCACTGTCAGTCCCCAGACTATTCACTGGCTTGTGAGTCATTCACCCAACAGCCAATTATTAAGGGGCACCTGTGTGCCCAGCATGGACATAGGATTACAGGTAACAATACCAACAATAATGATAATAATAATAATAATACCATTTACCTATTGCCTTCTAGGCACTTAGTGAAAATGCCTTCCTGCCCTACTAAATTTCAAGTTTCTTGAAAACAAGGCTGTGTATTACTTGTCTTTGTTGCCACCGATTAGAACTTAAATGGTGGGAAGAACTGTCACATCACCTGGCCCACTGCTGCAAACTTAGATGCCTGCAGGGTCTAAATGTGTAAATCAGGCTGGGGTGACTGATGAGAGCAGTGAGGCATGCAGAAACTGAAAATCCATACTCATTCTTAGACATTCACACACAATTTCCTAGAGAACATTGTGCTGGTCAAATTAACAGCCAGTAGTCCAGATTTAATAACTTTTTCTTTCTTTCATGATTGGGGATTTAAAAAGTATCCTAACTGAGGCCAACAAAGCCAGGGCTGAGCTGATCGCACCACTGACTGGTGCCTACTTTCAGATTCTCCACGTTCCCCCTTCTCCCTCTCTGACCTCCAGATATCTGGCCTACCTTAAGTTACTGCAAAACTCCCTGCCCTTGGCCATCTCATCCCTTTGCTACTTTTTCTTCTGCCTGGAATGTTCTTCCAAACCACCTCCTCCCCTCACACTACCTTGTCAATTACCATTCACTCTCTAAGGCTCATCTCAAATGCCTTTTCCTTATTAGTCTTCACTAAAGACTAAATCTGTCACATGCTCTTGCAGCACCCGGTTCTCTTCATTTGTGACCTTTATTACAATCATAATTAAATGTCATATTGGGTAATGAATTATGTAATATCTCTCTCCCAAGTTAGAACAGGAACTCCATGTGGACAGGTCACACATCTGTCCTCTTCATTGCTGTATCCCCAGAGCCTGGAAAAATATCTTCCACATTATGAAATAGGGTAGGGAGGTGGATTGAGGATGGGTTGGTATATGGGTACAGAAGAGAATAAAATGAAATAAAATCTCAATCTCCTCCATGAAAGAATTCACCTGCTAAAACTAATTCAGTGTATTTGAGCCCCTCCACTGGGCAACAGAGAAAGACATTTATCAGCTACAACTGCAAATGACAGCATTGCCCTGAACCGAGCAGAGGAGCAGATGTTCCATGGAGCAGTAGCTCCGTTTACACTAGTCTCACCTCCTGATGATCTTTTTTTTTTTTTTTTACTCCTCCTACACAGGGCCTTGAAGAAATCTGCAGCCCTCTGGATGGATGCTTACTACGAAATATGATGCAGAATGTCAGCCCTGACACACATGGAATTGCATCTCTAAAGGGGGGTTGGCAAATGTGCAAGACCTCTCCCCATCTCAACTGGGAATTAATTAGCACCATTGGCATACCTGAGTGTGCCAGGAATGTGAATCCCAAGGGCACAGGATAACCTCTTCCCTGAAGGTGTTCTCTGCAAATAGAAGCCAGGAAACACAAGGTAGACTTGGCCAGGGTTACAAAAGGGAAATGGGTGCCTACTGTTTTTATTTTTTCATTAGGAACTTGAACTTAATTTCATCAGTAGTCCTTAGTCATGTCATCTCAGTCGAGGGCATAAGTACAGGAAGCAGTTAAAAGGTGTGTGGATGAAGTGGACATAGGAAGAAGTGGACCAAAGGAGAGAGATCTGATGGACTCCTTTGAAAAATAGTGCAATTGCTCTTAGAAGAGAGTCATGTATTTAAGTAGTTTCTGTTGATGGACAAATTTTTGCTTATTTCTTTTCAAATATGTGAACTTATTTTTCTTTAAGAATTGAGTATAATTAACATTAAAATCTCTTTAAATAAACCAACATTCACTTCAGATTTTCACTATTGCACCTGCATATGTGTAATTGCTGCAAATATACACACTTTGTTTCCAAGAGGAGAAATGAGAATTTCTGTAAAATTTCTTAAAGGAACTTCCTACATCCAGTCTTAATAGCAACTGATCAAGCAGGCTAATGTTTTATATTTAAAGATGTTTTATGTTTAGCTAAATAATAAACTGTCCTTTGAATACAAGATTTACTTGCCTACTCCCTACCCACCAGAGCAGAACTACTATACCTCATTATTGGGTCACCTGATAAAAGAAAAGGCTTTGTTTTCCATAATAGAGACCCCAGGCTGTGACAAGGTATTTTTCAAGTTTGGCACCAAATGAAGCATGTCTTAGGACAAAGGCATTTTATTGCTGGAAGGATGGGTACACACTCTCAGTGCCAAACTGATCTCTAGTGTCTGTGCTTTTGCTCAGCTATTCATGGGGGTCATATCAAAGCTGACTTTAGCTGCAGGGAGGAAAAGTAGGAGAGTGCAAGCTTCCTAACCCCGGCTGCAAGCAAGTCAGCACATTGGTTTATCTGTTGTCCGAAATTCTAAGCATTCATTCCCTTACTCCAAACTCTGCAAAATACTCTTTTTGTTTGTTTCTTAATTAAATTCCTAGCAAAGGACACCACATTAAATTACTCACAGCTCCTGGGGAGTTAGCCATATATGTCAAAGCTAAAAAAAACAAGAAATGGCTGTCTAGGAGGAAGAGGCATTGAAATGGTCATAATACTAAATAGGAGAGTTGGGCAAGGAATAAGAAGGATGTAAAGCTGTGTTGACTGCATGATTCCTTCTAATGAATGAGGAAGAGCTCATATTCCCCCTGCTGGTAGATCTATAAGTGATTTCTCCTGCCTGAATTCAGGATTGTGAGTGGGAGTAGGGTAGAGTGGTTGCTTTTTTCTGTCTCACCTGATCCAACTCCCAAAATGCTTAAGCACTGTTTGTTCTCCTGGTCACTAGAAATAGCAAACAGACCTCTCCCTGGGCAAACTTACTACCTCAAATGTATTTCCCCCTTGGGGTCAAAACTAGCCCACTTTGTAGTTCCCCCAAACAAAGTTGGTTACTGTGTAATTTCGAAGAAATCTGGGAGATTTAGATGGTTATGTAGAGGGAACATGCGAAATCAGTTCCAAAAAGGTGCTAAGCTGCCTGGTCCTGGGCCTTTCTTTGTTGGGAGGTTTGATTACTGCTTCAATCTCCTTACTTATTATTGGTCCGCGCAGATTTTCTATTTCTGCATGATTCAGTCTCGGTAGGTTGTATGTTTGTAAGAATTTATCCATATCGGGCCGGCCCGGTGGTGCACTGCTACAGTGTGCCGCTTGGGAGTGTGGTGGCACTCCCGCCAAGGGTTCGGATCCCACATACAGACCGGTTCCTCTTTTTTTAAGATAGAATAATGTTCCGTTGCATGTATATACCCCTTGTTTTTTAATCCATTCATCCATTGATGAGCATTTAGGTTGTTTCCACATTTTGCGTATTGTGAATAGTGATTCAATGAACATGGGAATGCTAATATCTCTTTCAGATCCCAGTTTCAATTCTTTGGATAAATATTCAGAAGTGAAGTTGCTGCATAAAATTCTTACCTATACTTATGAGCATCTGCCAAGCAATAAGTACTTAGCTACATCCTTCATGGACATTATTCCATTTAATCCTCATAACAGCCCCATGGGGCAGGTGCTATAATTAACTTCATTTTATAGATGACAAACCTGACGCTTAGTGAAGCTAACCAATTTGCCTGATGTCACAGGTAGAAACTGGTGGAGTAGAGTTAAAGATGCAAGAGTATCTGATTCTGCACTCAACACTCCTTAATTTCCATGCCAGGAAATCCAAAGTAAAGGGGAATTAAGTAGCATTTCTGTGGTTTACAAAAAGATGTACTAAACAATGTTTCGGGATTCCTAAACATGTATTAATGTGATGAAGAGAACAAAGAAAACAGTAAACACAAAATTGAGGGTTGTGGGGAGAAAAAAGTGCTAGGTAAGAACAAAAATGTATCAATGGAGTGAACTTCAATTTGCTTAATGGGTTGCTGGTCAATAAAACCATCATTTTCCTGAATTTATTATCTCAATTGATTTCTCTCATCCTGCGGTGATTGGTATTTGCACTTGGTGAAGCATTGACTATATTTCTGCTGCTTGTTCAATACGTTTCCCAGAGGAGGAGAACCAAAGCGTGTTGCTTTCACAGCTTCCCAGTCCACTGAACACTGAGTTAGAACTTAGATGACCCATCCTATAGGTCATTTTATTTCTGCCCTTCATGCTCTGCTCTCTGGGCATGTGAATGAAGGTAGCTTAAACAGCTACACTCCTGCCTCTTGAAAACACTCCTAAGTTACATTACAGTCCCACCTGAAACTCTTCAATGGATTCCCAGGGCTCTAGGAATACAGACCAAACCTTAAGACTGCCCCAGGCACCCTGGCCAGCCTCGTAGCATTCCAGCCCTTGCTCCTGCTACTTCAGCCCCACTGGCTTCTTTCAAATGTTCACCCTCCCTCTGCCACAGGGTCTCGGCTCCTGATCCCATGTCTGAACCACTCTGTCACCCTCCCTGCCCTCACTCCTCTAACCTGGTCAAGCTGCCACTCACCGTCAGGTCTCAGCACCACGATCACATCTCAGGAAAGCTTTACGCACTATCCCAGGGAAGCTTCCTAGCTAAGTCAAGGCCTCCTGTGATATGCTCTGTGGCAATTACCACATGTAAAATTTTGCATTCATTTGTGTGATTTCTTAATTGATCTTCCCCTGTAGCCGGCAATAGCCATGAAAGCAGGGACAGCCTGAACGTGTTAGAGACACTCAATAAAGATGTCCTAAATAAAGAAAGAAAGGAATGGATGAGTGGATGCTAATTCTAACAGGCTACAACCAAAAAAGTGTTCCTAGACCTCTTCTCATGGAAATCCATCATTTTATGCAATAACTCGCCAGGAAGTTTCTTGCTATCCATAGCTTGAAAACCATCTCAGGGTTTCTTATTGCGAGATTTTCGTGATTACAAAAATATGTTAATGCTATTTCTCCCAGTTGGATAGAAAGATAGATTTTACCCAATATATGAGAGGCACTTCTATAATCTAATTCTGAATTATTAAAATTCTCTTTTATTTTATTTTGGTAAGAACATTTAACATGAGATCTACTCTTTTACGTATTTTTAAGTATGTACAATACAGTATTGGTATCTATTGGCATAACATTGTAAAGCAGATCTCTAGAACTTACTCATCTTGCATAACTGAAACTTTATACCTGTGGGTTAGTAATTCCCATTTCCCCCTCCCCCCATCCCCTAGCAACCACCATTCCGTTTTTCGTTCTATGAGTTTGACTATTTTAAATAACTCTTATAAGTAGAATCATGCAGTGTTTATTCTTCTGTGACTCGCCTATTTCACCTAGCATCATGTTTCAAGGTTAATTCATGTTCTCCTATATTTCAGGATTTCTCTTTTTTTAAGATAGAATAATGTTCCGTTGCAT